AAAAATTATGTGTCAAAAAGTACAAAGATGTAGGTATCTTAGATTATTATATATGTCTAAGGTAGGTACCTACTTAATCGTAAATATTTTGAAACCTACATATAGTTCATTCATGTAACTTTAGTATCGGGATCAGATGATAGGTAATCTTAACCTTTAAAATCTTTTAATAGATATATCTCTAAGAATAAAGTAAAATTCAATCACTTTCAAAAGTAATGTGCTGGTATAAAAAATTGTGTATGTTTTTATCGTTAGCTGTACTTACTCATGTGGCGTATAATATTTTCTTTAAAAAAAAGAAGAAAGATGAAAAGGCCAAGATATTTAATGAAGTTATTATGTTCTCGTACGGAGTAAACAAGATTAAGAAGAAAAGTAAATGTTATCGTTTTATGATTACGAAAAGAATGAACAGGTTATTATACTACTTGAATAAACCTCGACACAATCTGGATATTAGTATGTACATGCTCACAAATATGGACATTATAAAGGCTTTATTAAAGTTACACTATCGTGGTGTACGAATCAGGATAATTATTGATGCCAATATGTTATACTTCCTTGAATCAAGTCAATCAGGTATTAAAAGGTTAGTAAAGCAAGGAGTACGGGTACGATGGATAAGATCTGCCAATCTAATGCGTAATACGTTCTGTTTGGCTGATACATTGAGTGACAACAAACATGCAATTCCATTTGTGATAACTGGCTTTTTGTACTGGACAAATCAACGATTTAATGGTAACTCTGCAGTTAATATTACAGTGACTACACAGAATGAACTTGTTCAGCAATACAAGGATCAATTTGAAATACTTTGGAATTCGAATACTGTTTAAGCAAATTGTAGAATACGTACCTACTTAAATTAGTTGTAAGCTTTATTCTTGATTGAGATTTTTAGTGATTAGTTGTAACTGTGATTTTACTTACTAAAGAAAACAATATTATTATGCTAAAAGTACCTAAATATAATCATATTTCATTTAAGTTCAATGTCATCCTAACTAAGAATAATATATATATATAGGTATCTCTGTGAGAGTTGATGAACATTATTGACTTCAATATATCAGAAAGTTTAACATTCATAGTCACTGCTCATCTCTTATTGAGTGAGCATGATGTTACAGAGCCTATGAGTAATACCATTCTATCTACATTAACTGAATCTGTATTCTGTTCTTTAATTTAAAACTCTTGTTGCCAACAACATTTGTTATACCTGCCTAACTATATGTTGTCACTTATTAATGTAGATGGAATATATTTAAAAAAAAACTGTATTTAAGGTCTAGAGATGAACATAAAACTAATACTAAAATAATGAAGAAACAGTTCAGTTTATATAATCTCAGTGATGCAAAATGTCCCAATTGTTTGTTTTTCTAAAAATAAATACCTACCTTATTGAAAGAGATTTAGTTTTTTTTTGTAGTTGTTATAGTAGGCAACAACAGTTATATGGTGACAGCTACAGGTATGCAGTTTGATTTACTCAAACTATTGCCCACTATTACCTCGGTAATGTTATCTATCATTATTGTGATTCAGCCCTATTCTTGAAATAATAACCTACAGCCGCGCGGTACGTTAACGCGCGATAGGGATGCCCGCCAACAGTAATTTAATTTCACCTATCTAATTGAGCTTCTTTCTAGTTTAGTGATTGTAAGTATTATATTTTTTAGTTAAAAAATGAATTCGTTGTGAATGAAATAGGAAGTGTTCAATAAAATCATCCTTACAAACTTCAATTACTACCTACTCAACCAAAATGCAAGAAGCAGCTGACGAGTAGGTGATTATAATATTTTTTATCATCTCAGCTTATTAATGTCTCCATTACCTACAGCACGGAGCAACATGACATAACAAGTTTTTTGGTCACCCATCCGATGTCGAATCGCTGCAACCGTTACCATCTCATTGCGTGTGACAAAGCCCAGAGCAATCAAAACCTCTAACTAGCTACTACAAAATCTTACTCCAACGAAAAATTATACTTAATGTAAATCTTACTAGGTAGGAACCCACCATTTATTACTCTCATAATTATTTCATAACGATATTTCGTCGTTGTCGTCGTATTGTTTGAAGTCGGTCAACTTTTTTTTTTCGAAGGATTTATGTATTAAAATTAAAAGAGCTCTTAGCACTACAATTTGTTCTTGAACACTGACGCCCGCTATTAATCAACTTAGCCATTTTGGCTAAGTTTTACTTGCCTCACTTTCTAAGGGCCGAATTTACTACCGGCGAATCTTCATTATCTGCTAATTTAGGTAAATAATATAATGGTATGTAAAAATGATGTGTCAAAAAGTACAAATATGTAGGTACCTACTTAATAGTAAATATTTTGAAACTTTAGTATGCGGTACAGACAATAGGTAATCTCAATCTACGAGATCTTTTAATAAAGATATCTCTAAGAATAAAGTAAAATTCGATTACTTTCAAAAGCAATGTACTGCTATAAAAATGGTGTAGGTATGTTTTTATCGTTAGCTTAGTTACTTATGTGGCATATAATATTTTCTTTAGAAAGAAGAAAGGTGAAAAGGCTAAGGAATTTCATGAAGTTATTATGTATATTTTTAAATGGAAACGACGTTTATTCTCATTAGTATAATTATCCCCCCGGTCGACTTACTTCAACTAGCTGAAATTTGAGTTGAACTAAACGGAATAGAGATATCTTTGTATAAAAATCAGTTGCCGAAATATAGGTATGTCCGGGCATCACTTTTTACTGGTTGCACGTTATTTTATAGAAAATAGATTTTAAAAGAAAAAAAAACACATTAAAACATTTTCATATTATAATTTTAATTAATAATCAATACGCAGCATATTAACTTTGAAAAAAAATATCTATTTTTATTTTATTAAAAATACAATAACTGCCAAATTAATCCCCTTGGAGATCAAAGTAGATAAAAAATACAAATATATCTCTATAGGAGATCGGTGTTTACATAAAATCCCTAGGAGATCCTAGGGGATTTAAGCAGGGGATCCCAGTGGACGTTGTGTTTACAAAAACTTCTAAGGGGGATCAAAATGGGGGATCAAAATGGATAAAAATTCCAAACAGATCCCCTAGGAGATCAGTGTTTACAAAAAAAACAAATAAATCACCTAGGGGATTTAAGCAGCCATGCCAGTGGACGGAGGGCCCCTTCTTGGCTATGCAGAGGGCTTAGTCTGAGTTTATTTCTCATCTTCTTCAAATCTTCAGCAATCGCGACGCCGAACTCGCTCGCCGACGAGAGCGAGTTAATGTGACATAAACTCAAACTAGGGCCTCAGATGTCTCCTATCTCGACGTTACTGAAGAACTTTGTGATAAGTTTGACCGCTCACAGAATTTCTGTATTTGGCTTTATATTTGGCCTAAGAAATTAGGATTAGTTACGTGTCGCATTCCGCAAGCAAGTCCAAATTGTTACCTATTCGGCGGCGTCGAAATCTTCATATACTTTCTTTAATGTACTCAGTTCTTCATAACTCTACGTTTCTTGTTTATCCGAGTGAGTGCTCTGACAATTTTGTCCCATGAAGTCGACCTTGTCGCATCTCACCTTCTCTTCTCCTCCGAACTCCGTCTTACAGTTAAATTCCCTATAAAAAATCTGTGAAAGACCTTTCTGCGGTGTGACTGTGGAATTCTTTTTTCCACTCAATACGCAACCCATCCTTTTAATGTTTTTAAGAGGCGAATCAAGGAATCCAGGACATCGGTGTCGCGAACCCGTAAGTTGTTGCCCTTCCAAAAACGCTCAACGCGTCTAAAGAAGTTTTCACTTCAAAAACCTAATTTAATAATATAATTTAAATAAATTTATATTATACCAGCTTTTGCCCGCGTTTATTTCGGTTTAGGGGTGAAAGCGTGCACCAGGGACTTCCTTTCTAGGGTATACCTGGTTCCCCGGCTATTAGTACCCGAGACGGCGTGCGGTTTTAGTCGGTTCGAGTCCGACATGCCACCGACAGGTGGTATTCGAGGGGATTTCCGCACGGAAAAAAAAAGGGATGAAAGCGTAACAAACAAACTCATTTTCACAAGTATGGATATAGTTAATATTGTATAATGTGTGAACTTATGTTTTATTCTATTTAGTAATTTTGTTTCTATTTCTGTAAATAATAAGTTGTATGCATATTTCTGATTTCTTAAATTTTTATGTATATATGACTTTCTCTTATTGTGCATAATTATGTCCTCTCTTCAGTCAAGCATTAGCTATTTCCATTATGTATCTTGTTGTAAATGTTTATTTTGTGTACAAAAAGAATAAAAATACATAAAATAACTGACTTGCTTTGTGGGATATAGTTTTTGGTTCCAAATCTCGAATTTTGTCGGTTTTATAAATACTCCGTCCCGTAACCCACGGGAAAAGGATGTCCCCATAACTTAAAAATTGATAAAGTTAGATATGAATGGTGTGCATGAATAAATATATTGTAATATAATTTTTAATGTGTAGTTTCGTTGTATGAGAGGAACCTAACTAGTGTGTCTGTCGTGTGCTGCGTGTTATTTGCGGCCCTTCTCCTTCCTCTTACCCGTCGTATTCTTAATGTCTGTTGTGTGTCCAGTTTTCGAGTTAAGTTGAGTGGGTCTGGTGTCTATGGTTATTTGGCGATTGTTGCGAGCCCTGTGGTTGTGTGTGTTGTGTATGAATACCGTATCTCCCAAAACTTTCTGAGTATAGTCATTGTGTGTATGGCTGCTAGTTTTTGAAGGATGGTTATATCAATGTATTGTTATTTAAAAGTCAATATAATATGATGCTATATCACAGTAATTGTAAATATTTTTATGATAAGTATAACGCGACGAATACCTACTGATAAGATTGCGCAAGTCTAAAGTGTCCATTTTGAAAGACTTATTAATATATTATTTGTATTTGTACTAACTAGAGTAACCTCCTCTTATTTATTTATTATTATATGTATTTTAAATAAATTGAATAAAAATGACACGCGGAGTAGTCGCAGGAAGACTAGCATTGGTAACAGGTAAGTAAATTCAATATTTTGTTTGTAGTTAACTATTGATTTTACAACAACGGTTAATATAAAATATGGACATGATCCCTATTTTTGATAACAAGAGCTTTAGAATATTTGTTTAATAGACACCTTATTAGTAAGTTTAAATTAATACATTACACGTATAACCTAAACTATACAGTTCATTTTGGTATAGTTACTTTACTCTTTGATTTAAAGTACTTACCTATGGGCTTATCGGGGCATAAATAAGGCCATGTGGCCCGTGGCCCTGACTGCGCAGCTCTTGCACTAATCAAATTAAAAATACTACTATTTGAGTGAAGCTTAAATTTATTTATACCAACTTGAAACAGGCGCAGGGTCTGGACTAGGTCGAGCTACATGCCAGGTGTTGTCCCGAGAAGGGGCTACTGTCATAGCCGCTGACAAGAACTACGATGCAGCCGTAGAAACTATTAAGGACTATACAGCATTAGCATCAGGTTCTAATGGTAATTATTTTGAACTTAGAACTTAATAGTGTTGGTACGTAGGTAGGTGTTCAAAAGCATTTGTTGTTAGATTTAAATTTCAAAACCTTTGCAGAATCATCTGAATGATAAATGATATTTATTTCTGTAAGTAAATCTTTTCAGATATTTTTACAAGTCGGAATATAATCATGATAATGATAATGATAATATATTTATGATTTCATTTGCTTTGCACAAATTTGCTTGGGATTGATGCTGCTCACTCCCACATTTACGTGGACATCTTTGTTGTTAAGTTTGAAGGTGATGGACATTTAATTATAATTTTTTTGGTGTATTTCGTATTTTGTTTGTTTTAATTTGTTTATTTTTTGTTGAATTTGAATTTTAAAGTTTTTTTTTGTGTAAGTATGTAAATGTGAGTATAGTGGCTTGTAATGTTAATTCATATTTTAGTAACTTTCTGGTGGTTTTGAGTGTTTCCACGGCCTACCCAAATGTCCTGCTGGCGGTAGTGACATGATTCGGGTCGTTGATCTTGACCAATATTGGTCAGGCTACACAGTGGCTGGAGCCTGTATGCCGTCTGTATGGACAGGCCGACTCTAAACTATGGTCCTTTCTTCAAAAGGCCTACCCAGACCCTATACTGTACTCGCACAGTTTTATTTAACTTTGTTTACGGACTCACGAAGCCACTCAAGTGCCTACATGTGAAAGAGCAAAATTAGAGTAGTAGATATTTTTAAATAAAATATTATAATCTCTCTTCAGACAGAGATCACACTGCTGTAGAACTTGATGTCTCAGACCCATCTGCAGTTAGGAACCTGCTAAAGACTACTCTGGATCAATATAAAGCACCACCAACTATTATAGTGAACTCCGCCGGTATCACCAGAGACAACTGGCTCCTGAAACTGTCTCAGGAGGATTATGACAGTGTGCTCAATGTTAATTTAAAGGTAAGGATTGAATACGTGTGTATTCAGTGAAACTAAAAGAGCAATTTCTGATTCGTAAGTAATAAAAATAGTTGCTATAGTCCATCAACGTCGTGCGCGACCGTCCTGCGGGGTGACAGACGGTGGCGGGGACGAGGTACTCAAGATGTCAGCGGGTAGCGGGTGGTGTAGCGGGGAAGGGAAACCCATGTAGCCGTGTGCTAGAATGACGCGCTACCTCGCCCCCGCTATTGTCTGTCACCCCGCGGGACGGTCGCGCACTAGGTTGCCGGGTTATAGTATTACATATTACAAACAAAACATTGTATTTTAATCACATGTAAGAATATAATATATATATATCTATATGAGATATAAATTAGTGGATGTCCTTGTCCATCCAGTACGGATATAGGGTTACATTACCTCGGCCTTTTAGGGATAGTGCAGTCTCCGTTCCATTTCTCATCCCAATTTACTTTCTTGCTGTATCGAATCTGTAAACAAAAAGCTCTCAAGTAGGATCGGGATCAGGCGATTGGCCATTTAAAGTATTAGCTAGCCGCAATGTGACACTCCACACCTACTCTAAATACTTAAAATTGAGACAAGGGCAGGAATATGATGATGGATCGAAACAATGTTTTGGGAGAGGTTACCCGAGCGCAATGGGTAATTGTGCGAACTGCTTGTATCTAAGAAACGGAGCGCAGGGGGTGGGTGTTTGTTTGGGCTAATTTTAGTCGTGGTCAACTCAAATTAGTTGCGACATGTCATTGTGCCGCATCACAATTCGTTTAATAATTTGCAAAAAAATATTTTTCCCACTTGAATCGTAATTTTTTGTGTTCTGGAAATCAGTTTCACACGCAAGATTGATAGCTACCAGTAGGTAAGTCACTATCTTTTAATTGAAGACATATTTCTTTTGGAATTTGTAAGTGTAATTTAAGGTTATGTTCAGCGCTTTGGCTTCAGTGGCTATTGTTTTGAATTTTGGGTTCTCGGGGAAAGTTTGCGCGGTTAAGTGGACGCATGCGCGCACTTGCCCCCGAAGTGATAAAGTGTGAAAAATACATGTGTATGTTGTGTATTTAACTGAATAATTTTATTTACACTTATCATTTGTTTAATTGGTGCAGTTTTTTATCACGCCACCAAATTATACAGATAAATATAAGGAAAATACATGAACTTGCGCCAGTAACAGATCTAACTATCTGTATATATACATGTATATACGAGTATATATATAATCTAACTCTACTACAAATTGCAAAAGAGCGAAAAATGTTCTCGATCAAGGGAAACGCAAACGAGCTCCTGCAACAGCCATTTGTATAAGCGAGTCATGTCTTCGTAAAAGACAAAAACTAAACGTGGCTGCGACTTCCATGGGTCGGTATAAGCCCAAGTGAGAGTCAAGAGGCAGAGTTTGTAATTTATTGCAAACAAATGGATTAAATATTTTTGGCTTGACTATAATTTGCTTAAGGCCATTGGTTCTAGAGTAAGTTACAGCAAACAAAATTGAAAATCGCTTTGGCCAATCATTCAGAATAGCAGGCCGCGATTGGGTGGAATACGTGCGTTTACTTACCCCACAGGAATACGCACACTTACCCGCAATACGGGTCAAGTATACGCAGTCCGACTTTCGGTGTTTTTTCTATGATTGACTCTAAACTGGTGCACTTGCTGATTTTGTTTATTTTTTATTGATTTAAATTAAACTCTAATAAACGATCTATTTCAATTAATAATTTTGTTTTCTTAATCCCTGTTCTAATGCATAATGAGGCTTCAAAGGTGAAAAAGCGCACACTTGACCCAAATGACTCTATATTCAATGATGCCATGACGATGCTATTGTATCTATTTGTTGATTTTAAAAAAGAGTGGCAGTGAGTTTCTTTGTCTTTTCTTCTCATAAGGCTCAACCCCTTGGAAAGGGGCGGTTGTAGATTGGCACAGGCAAATAATGAATTTTCGATACGCATATATTTATTTTGCTAAATATTTGACCAAACAGAGATTGTTGCAATTGTGCATGTTGATCTTTGACTAAAGTTTAAAATCATAAGAGACGATTTCAAACAATTTTTTTTTATGAAATAGAGATATTTTGAGTTTGAGTTTGATAAAGTCTACATAGCATTAGTGCTACAGAGAAAAATACCAAAATATACGGGGGCAAACGAGTAATCGGCTTGGGATAGTATGTGATTGGGGCTTGTTTGATCATTAAATACAATAATTTAATTCATAACTTTGCATGACTATGTCTTTTTAAAGATTTTATTGGTATGTTCTTAACAGTATTTAAAACTTTTCAGGGCACTTTTTTGATGATGCAGACGTTCGCCAAGGCTATGACAGAGGCAGCAGCTCCGGGGTCTATTATTAACTTTTCTAGTATTGTTGGCAAATATGGCAATATGGGTTAGTAGAATACCATAATATCATAATTTTTATGTGGTGCGTTTAAAAAAAAAAAAGACATTTGATGGATAACTTTGCATGACTATTTTAGGTCAAACAAATTATGCTGCAAGTAAAGCTGGGGTTATCGGCATGACGCAGTCGGCTGCCAAGGAATTGGGACAATTTAACATTAGGTAAGATTTTTACACAAACAGAATATTCCTATTAGAATTAAAACAATCCGACTCTTGCATGACTTTGTTGAGTTGAGTTTGGATCACACGATAAAAGACCGTGTTTATATTTTAGAGTACTATTTTTCTGCATAAAATTAAGGTCATTAGTTCTATTATAGGCAGAACTAAGGAGGAGGGAGAGGTTAACCCTCTGCTAACCTCACTTACTCGGTGAAAAAAAAAATTGCTTAACATTGGTTTTCCGTGAGGCCGTGGTAGCGCTCCGGTCAGGCCGGACCATTTGTGCCAGGCATGGCTCTCCCACGAGTTACGTCATTCTCTACTTAGCCGGGCTTAACAAATGTTTATGATCTGTTAATTCCAGGGTAAACGCCATTTTGCCAGGATTCATAGAGACTCCAATGCTAAAGACTATTCCTGACAAAGTACTGAAAGGCTTCCTGAAGTCGGTGCCTTTAGGTCGACTTGGCAATCCTACAGGTAAATTCACTTGAAAAAGTTACAAGTAACTTTTAAATTGTTTCTGTAAGTTTTTTTTTCAGTTACTTAAGAATCGTCATGGCACCACACTTAATAAACAAAAAGTACTTATTAAAAAGTTTTAAAATTCTATATAATTATACTAGGAAGTTCCAAAAAAAAAAACAAAATACTTAATTAAAACGACCGACTGACCCGATAAATTCACAAATCTAACTCTATTTTTAACATGCTTGTTCCAAATTACATTTCAATTATAAGTTTTACATATTTTTGCCTGTATAAAGGTTACATTGCCTACATTTGCATTCAGGCAAATCTTTAAATCGAAGACTATAAGATTTTAATAAGTAACATGCAAGTTCTAATACTTCGTATATTTCGATTTACAGAGGTAGCTGAGTTGGTTACATTCTTGAGTTCGGACAAGAGTTCGTTCATCACGGGTGCTGCTATCGATGTTACAGGAGGCTATTAAATACAAACGAATAAATAAGAAAATCTATATATTGCCAGTTTGAATAATAAGCAAAATTTTTTTTTTTTTCACCTGTATATAAAAGAATCAGTTATATTTTTATACGTACCAGCGCAATTTTTTTTTTAAAGTGGCTTGTGCACTTAAAAGTAAAAAAAAAATATATAACAAATTAAATTTATTTATTATTCTTAGCTTTCAATTTATTTTTCTTCAGTTCAGCTTTATTTTTCTGTCTCTTATCCCTCATAAAAGTCCTGTACTCTGTTTTCCTCTTTTCATCAACAATTTCTTTGTATTTCTTCTTGTTATACTTTTGGAATGCCGCATCGTCCAATAACTCATCAACCATGGTCCGTTTCCTTTGTTTTTTGGTAAGTCTTTGATTGACATGGTCTAGAGGAGAATCCATTATGCGGCCAACCTAAAGTTAATAAGAAAATAGATTTTTGTTACAAATACAATTTACTTATTTCTATTTTTACAAGACAAATCTTTATCCCTGTGTCTGTGCTTTAATAAACTGTAACACTATCTGGACACCTTAACTCATGACAGAGAAATCAGTTTTCTCTGAAGTGTAGTATATATATGATCTTGATAGATACAGAGAATCATTCAAAGAATAGATTACTAAGCCCACTAAATGACACCCAATAGATTACTATCTTCCCCATGAACTTTTTTGGCCAATCCTAATGCAAATTTAGTTTAGTTGCAAATTTATATGAAGCTTATGAAATGCTGTCAGTTACATTGATGTCAAGTGGGATTTTATGATCATCACTTCTCAGGAAGGCAAGGGATATCTCTCATAAGCGCTTCAGATGACTGGGTATGCTGTTTCTTAAGTTCTTCCAAATGTAGTATGTCATAAGTCACTTAGAAAAAGGTGATCATTGAACTCCTAATCCTATATCTATAGGCGTAGAATACAATATTTTATTAGTTGGAAATAACATAACTGCAAGTTAATAAGCAGGTAGTAAACAAAACATTGTTTACTAGAATTTTGCACATGGATTGGGGTGATACCAATCACCCCAATCCATGTGCAAAAATCTTCATGAATATCTACATGTAATTTATAATTGTAATTTACCTTATCACAATCATATAAAAATAATATTATTAGAAAATTAATAACACAAATAGTTTTTACAGGTAAGCTGTCACTGACAAGGAGAACATATACCAACACGGTGATTGAAGCACAGTCTAATAATAAACTTACCTGGAAGTATTTAGGTAATACTTCCATATCATTTTTCTTGTAGAACTTTTTGGGATCCAATGCAGATCTCATTTTGAGAATTTGAAGGTCATTTTTCAGTTCCTCATTGATTTCTGGTGCAGGCAAATTGAACCATCCTGGTCCTTTGGTCTTCTCTCTTTCTTTCTGTAATAAGTATTGTAATAATTGAAATTAAAGCACAATTTAATATATTTATACTTTAGTATAATATATTAACAGACAGATAGACAGAGGGCTTTATTTTAAAATAATATGTAGTGATCATGCAACATACAGCTTCTGAAAATAAGGTTTTCTACTTTCTTTAAGATTTTTTTAAATAATTTATCCCGTGGGTGTCGTAAGAACCGACCGGGAGTAAACTACGCAGACAACAGCACTGCAAAGAGAAGGAAAACTTGCCACAAACCCTATACCAGCCCGTCTGGCCACCGTGGTATAGTAGGCCAAGACCGCCTTTCCAAGGAGAGGCCTATGTGGAGCAGTGGACTATTAAAGGCTGATGATGAATTTTCATGAGAATAAGTGTTCATAGATGGTTTTCAATTGACTGATGGAAGGTTAACTTTTTATGGTCAACTCAGAATATAGTTTTCTTCTAATAAGTATGCGGCATACAGAAATTATACAGTACATTATTTATTAATATTGAAATCAAGAAAAGTATAAATGTTTCAAGACCTACAGATGATTGATTTTCAGAAATGATACATACCCTTCGCATGGCCTTTAACTGCTTCTCACTGACATTATATTTTGGTAATGCATGTTCTTGTTCTACTCCAGGCTTAAATACGCTATTTCTCATTTCTTTATCAACATCAACACCACCAAGATTGGATTTCAATTTACCCGTTTCTATGTCTAACTGGTCAAAATGAAATAGTCTCTTTTTATTTTCTTTTTTCAATATTATAGATTGAGACCAGCCCATTTCTTCAAAGAAATGATCAAATACATTATCTAATTTTAAATTTTTCAGTTTCAATTGCAATTGTTCTTCAGATTCCAATTGTGCATCAAGCTCCTGTTTCTTTTGATCAAATAGTTCTAGGATAGATGATTGAATATTTTCCTTCTCTGAAATATTAATTTGTTTCTTAATTAAAAATATGTTTTATATGAATCTTAGGTATTGATAAAAGTATATTGCATTTTAATTCTTATACTTTCACATTCTATGACATTATATTGGTAAAATGACATTATTGTACAAAATGTTTAGTTTGTAAGTTGAAAACGTATTTAATTTCTTATTCGCTAATATTTATGAAGCTTGAACTTATTATATCACTTATTAAAATAGCTTTTAACACTTCTGAAAGGTTTCATCAGTTTGGGCATACAAAATGTCACATCTAGATAGATGATAGGCAATTTATAGAGAAACATGACAGCTAGTGCAATCTGGTCGAAAAATAAAGCAATTAAAACATATATACTACCTAAAAATCATATGAATTATCATTAATTAGTAAGAATGAGTTCGGCCGTTAATGTCAAATTTCCTTCAATGCCTTTTCATATACCATCATATACAAATATAATATAGTAGTGATAATTTAATTAAAATAGTGAAATTAAATTATAATTAACTTATTAAATTAAAAAATAATTTTCTTATTCAGTATATAAAAATCAATAGCCTTAAGTCTCACTTATTAATACTTTTTCATTTTGTGTGCTTTAAAAAATAAATAAGAGAAACCCATTATCTGCTGACAAAGCTGGGACGGGTCACTAGAATTAAAATAAAATACTTCAGCTAGAAATTACCATGGCTTAATCTTTTCAAGCAAGTTTTAATCTCAATTTTATTATTGTATATTTGAGAAATCATCAACTATTCTTTTATCCCTTAATTTATACTTAATTTTTAAGTATTGGTAAGTATGTGTTATTCAACAGAAGAGCATGATCACTATGAGTACTTTCGTTTTTAATATTTCAATTAATGCAAAGAGATAAGATTCCTAATTTTAATGATTTTCTTTTAAAATTCTGTAAATGTTGTTTTAGCAACTGAAACATTCGTTGTTAGGTGGACTGTCTTTTGTCAGGTAAGAGAGCAAATTTCCAGAGAATGATAACAGTTACATTATGGTTGTTCCCTACATCAGCGTGAATAGAATAGATTTAGGTATTAAGGAGTTCAAATAAGTGATTCATAATTTATATTTATGTTAAGAAGAAGTTACGCATAGATGTTTTATAACTTACTTCATCAATAGTAATTTAATTCATGCATTGACTTATGACTTAGATAATATAAAGCTTTTATATTAATCATTTTTAAAATAGTTGGCAAGAAAAACCAGCATAAAGAAACACAGGTATAGTATTCTATAAAAAGTTGGCATCGAAGGAAAGTTGGCATTGACAGTTGAACTCATAAGAATTGGCTGCATGGGCCTGTTGGTCTAGTGGTTAGTGATAGTGGCTACTAACACAGAGGTTGTGGGTTTGTTTCCCACATAGTACAAATAACTGTGTGAGTGCATGATCATTTGTTCTAGTTCTGGGTGTAATTTATCTATAATATGTATGTGTTTAGAAATATATAAGTATTGTTATCAACAGTTTGGTTACCATAGCACAGGCTCTGAGTAGTTTGGGACTAGACAGCATTACATAGTGCGTTTTTATCATATCATTTTATATTATTTCTTTGCTTATACAAAGAAAAATTAATAACTTATGCAATACCTTTACCTATCAATATGCACAGATATTATTTAAAGCCCTACCAAAATGTGTAAACAGAGTGAAGGATTAGAATAGTTTCTCTACTATTGTTTTCAAAAATTTTAGTTTAATGTAATACATTTTAAAGATAGTTCGTTACCTCAAAATTAGCCAATAAATAGCACGCAAAGTACAAACTTTTAAATGTCGTCTCAATTCACCAACTTGTTTATGTAGAAAATGTATTTCCTAGTTTTAAGTTATACATTTTCACAGTTAAGTCTGATAGATTAAAAAGTAATCAATTAAACAGAGAATATGTAAATATTAATACTAACCTATAAAATAAGGTGTTGTACTTTGGTCGATTAGTTCTGTTTTATTTTGAAGTTCATCATCCCCAATAGTATCTATTATGAAATCCATTTTCGCTGATACTTATCACCATTAACTAAATGAATTGTAATTATTCAAAACAATCGAAATAAACCAGCATGGTTTTGACACAATTGTGACAAATTATTTGACTGAGTTAATTAAAGTAGTGTTGCTAGGAAGGGCAAATCTCCCTAAGCGTGGTAACATCCTTAATTGCAATGTTTTTTAAATTTAGTTTGTTTAGGTTAAATACTTTCGTAAGTTACAGGCTTTTCAAGAATCCTTTAAACCTTCTAAGATTATGTTTCTATGCTTTACTATTCCATTGCAGTTGTATACACTAAATTCCTATTAGATGTACTTTATTGGCATATACTTAAAACATTGAGTTGACATGTTTTTTTAATTACCGGTTTCAATTCACTTTTCACATATTTTTATTCTCGGTTCAGAAAATCTTTCCTTATAAATTTTCTGCCATAGACAAAAACTACCAAATTTACTGAGATATTCTAAACCTAGCAACCGCGACGGAGGTTTTTCGTTTAGAAACAGGTAAAAAAAACAACAACAAAAGTTAAGATTAAGCATTTGTTTCACACAATGAATGAAATATAGTCAGTAATTTCACTAGACTAAGCAAAGTAAAAATTTCAAATTTATGAAACGAATTAGTTAAATTTAGTAAATATATTTCTAATTCATATGAAATGACTTCCAAGTCATAGGTACATTGTCGGAGTATACATAGTAGATAAAGACCTTTATGCGTCTGTCTTCAGGGAAACTGGGCCTCAAGTCTGCTATTTTAATATTATATCAATAGACAGTCGTCAGAATAGTTGTGCACTTAGTAAACAGTACATTTTAAATTTGTAAGAAAATTATATATTTAATTTGCCAGATATGGCAATGTTGTTGAAATCACCATTGATGTTATTTGCCACTACATCGGCAATTTACTGACACTGTGAATTTATGTTAGTAGAATATCGATATTTTAACCGACATCAATGGCATCTCAATAGCGTGTACGTGGTTTCTTCGTTAACATAAAATTTTAGAATTAAGGCTCTGGTGATCCACTTGTACAATTTCTTAGGTAGCTGCACCAAACTAGCGGCACAACCTTCGTATTCGTTTCATAAAGAACAGCAATTATCAATAAACTATGTCGTTCTTCATTTCGTAAAAAAATCTTGTCTTGATTGTAATACTGTATCATGGTTTTACTTTTTAAGTTTCTTAATAACGTATATGGTACATTTCATATTCTAATAAAAACTGAAGACAATCTGACTTCATAAAAATAGACCGCCAAGCATCTTGTCGCCGTTTTTTCTTCAGAGAATTAATAATTCAAGGTCTACTTTCAAGGGTCTTGGACTTATCCAAGACCCTTGAGCGTAGACCTTGAAACAGGGCCCTTTGAAGAGTCATTATTGTCGTGGAAACGGTCAGAAGGACACTTAACCGCGCGTCGGGTTGGTTAAAATTTCCACGTGGGTTATGGCATGTTTTCTAACGCCTTTTGTGCCGTTACCTTTGACACACGCTCTTTCAGATATAAGCTTTGGTTCGTAGGTAATCTTGAATAATTCAATTAAGAAGTATTAATTTAATTAGGCATAAGAGTAAGGTTTTCCGAGATATGTATTCAGTAAACAAATTTAACACGTATACATAGTCAATATGTAATAATTTAATCAAAGCAAACTATTATAGAAAATAAACTACAAACAGCTATGCAACTAGGTACACCATATGCGATACATAGATAAATATCATTATTTAGATAATTTTCTTTATATTTAAAGATTTATATTATTTAAAGGTTTAAAATTACGCCTATTTTTTGCATATAGTTTGTTTAAGAAAAGCCTTTGTTATATCATCCAGTGTACCTATTCTATTATTTATGTATGTATATATACGTATGTATATATTTACAGCCTAATTTTTTTTTGGTCAAATTGATAATTGTTATGAAATATACATAGAATGTACCTAGTAAATAAGGGTCTGGAGCATATACCCGGTGGGTATTTTGCTTAAGTGGGGATAAACTAGTTAATAAAGTTGGCAAAACAGAAAACCAGTGTTGTGTGTGTAAATTTGCAATTTTGGTCCCGTCTGCAGTACACTCGATTAATTACATTGATATTCAGGCTGTTGAATGTGTGGCTGTCAGGGTTCAGGGTGTCAAGGGGAAAATAATTCGCAGCACATGCGTTACTTTTTTTAAAGATCTGTGACTATACAGTTGTATGGCAAAGAAAAATGTCGTGTAAAACGTTTATCGATACATTATATGCACATTCGAATAATCTTTTGGCAGCTGAACTAAGAAATTGGCAATCATTTTAGTGTTATTTCACAATTATCAGTTACGATGGCGGCCGAAGGTTTAACAACAATCGATTCTGACCAGTTGATTAAAAAATGCAATGAATTTAAAGAATTCTATTTTACTTTTACGAAGACTTTAATGCATATGAACTCAAATCAGAATGTTTTAATTTAAGGAAGTATTTAAAGAACATAGCAAAGGAATCAGCGGATTTGAATAGCTCAAACTTACATAAACTAATTAGTAAAGCATGATAAATTAGAAGAAACTTTGCCCAAACATTAAAGTTGCTACTACAATTGTTTTTTTTTGCTTTATTAGAGTAGTACCAATTGTGTTAGAGAGCGCTCATTTTCACAGCTAAAGTTTTATTCTCCAACAGGGCCCCCAATTCTTGTGAATCCAGGGCCGTCTTAGGCTATGCCTTAGTTCCGTAGTAGTGCCGTAGTTCTGATGGCAGCCAATTGAAGTTCAGCCGTTTCGTTGTAGACTTAAGACTGACCCAAACTTACGAGTAGTTTGGGAAAAAGCTCGGAGGAGGAAGAATTTGTAAGACCTTTCAAGTCACATGTATTATTAGAAATATTATGTGGTATTTCTGTTGGCACATTCTTGATGAGATGTAGGTTTTAATGGTGAATTATTGTAAGAAGGTTATCCAAACATTGTGATGTTTCGAGGATATAAAAAACTTCAATCAAATAAATAAAACCAAGTATTCATTCTGTGTATTAATTTAATTTCGTCAAAATCAAGTCAAAATAAACAAAACCAAGTATTCATTCTGTGTATTAGTCAAACCTACGTCAGCTGGATGCTTAGAACAATTTCAAAACAAGTTATTATTGGTGTAGTGGTAATTTGGGATAATAATCATATATCGGCCGAAACAAGTCCTGTTGTAATCATAATGTATAGCAGGAACATAAATTACAGCAAGTTATGCCTTTAATAACGTTAGCACTTCGGCTGACAAATGTTTGTTCGTTAGGGTGGCCATTTACGGTGAAAGTATTGTGATATTTTTTGTTATGAGCACTTTGTGTAAGTATCGAGTATATCAACTAAACTCCTGGTTTATTCCATGTACCTAATAAATGGAGATTAGCTTTATGTAACAGCTATCAGTAGCTTTAGTAAAGAACCCAGACAAATAAGTAACATTTTTAGAAATTAATTACTATACCTACCTAATATTCCTCGCTAAAGATGATTTTAACAAAGAAAGTGCAAAAGAGATTTGATTCATTAGAATGAGGAGTCACGTACATAAATCCTTATTTCGTAATATCCCTTTATAAAGCATAAATAATTTTACATATAATGTTTTTTTTTGTTACTGGTATGTTTTAGCTGGTTTCTTTTATGACCGATCGCTGTCTGACGTCAACTCTCTTTAGGAAAATGATTGTTTTTCAATATGGACCAAAGGAAAAAGGTTAATTGAGATAGAAAGTAAAAAGAAAGAGCAAAGAAAAGAGCGTGACTCCTGAGTTGCAGGCGTTAATGGGGTGTGGTAGTCCCTTTCCATCAGGGGACCAATCTGCTCGGTTGAGCCCTCTATCATAATAAAAATATAGACAGTGCAAGGAAGGTTGTTGCAACCTGTGATTGCTCTGGGAGACTATACTGTATTCCCTAATAGTATCATTTACCTTTCACAAACAAGCCTTTATTAATTTTTCCTGATCCTTAAAGTTAAGTATTATAATTTTAGTAAGTAATACCATTTTATTTAACATAATGGTCCTAATTCTGACGTTCAAAAAATCACAAAAAAATTGTTTAGTCCTGTCAAAAAACGTTTCGTATTCTTGACAGGACTAAACTGATTATCTATCTGCTGACGGCACTTTTAAGCTAAACTAACTTTTAATTGAGTTGAGTTTGTCAAGATAAAAATAAATCGTGGTTCTAAGGGAAGAGGATTGGGGTACTCAGGGAATAACCCATTTTTATTTTTTTTTATTTTCGTCTAATCCAAAGAAATATACAAACATACATACATTCATACAGAGTAAAATGAGAATGACTGTACATATTGATGCAAAGAGATGAATAATAACCTATTTGGTTAAAATGAAAGTCCTCTAATTTAAGGAATTTTGTACGCATACCCATGTTACATGTATACGCTAGTAATAATAACAGATGTCGGATTAATGAGCGTTAGTGTCTGTTGTCATGGATATGTTGTGTGTGAACCAATTTACTCTAACTAAAGGATATTAATTAAACTTGCCCAATTGTTAGACCGTTGCTATGGCTTATGGGTTGCTTACAAGATGTTGTAAGGAAACATGCAACATTAATCCCGTCTCCTCACTTATTGTCCAACAAAATAAACCTGAGTTTGTTTCTAACACCGGATTTCTGATTACATCGTTATGGTATAAGAAAGTACTGACAACCCCTATTTGCGTTGTTGAATAAGTGTGTTCGTCAGAATTACCTCTAGATCTCTCTAGTTTAGTTACCGAACTCTTGATCTTGACACAGATATACATAGAATTTTTTATAAATAGCTTCTGATGATTGTTGGTTTTATATATTTGTTGAAATTAAAAAAAAAATACAAACGTCACCTGATGATGTGCTGAAACTGTGTAGGTAAGACCAGTTTGTTTTTTTTTTATACCTGATTAAAGTATAGCAAGCAAGCAAGCGTGTGGTGACGGATTAAAAACACGGAATGTCC